ACGATCAAGCACGTGTTCCGGCCAGTTGACCCTTGCGACAAGCTCGCCACCTCGGCCACGAGCAGACGCAGCGAAGGCAACACGTCAGGCGCCCGCGACAATGTGCGGGCGATAGCCTGCGTCCGCGCCACGGTCACACGCCTCAGCATGCAGGACCGCGCCTTGGCCACTGCGTGGCGCGGGGTGCTGCGCGCCGTTGGCGCACGTGACCCGGCCATCTTGCAACGCGTCCTCAAGCTCGACACACAGCAGCACGCGCTCATGCTAGCCACGTTTGCACAGCGGTTCTACCACACACGGCAGCAGCACCACGAGCGCCTGTGCAAGTTTCGCCAGGCCCTGGACCAATATGCAAGCAAAGCCTCCGGCAAGCGTCCATTCCACTCTTCGTGACAAACCTTTGGCTGTTGTTGTCTTCATGTTCACGTGTGCTGATGTGAGGCTGTCTTTATCTCTGTCGGCCTACATATCTGCATGTCGGTCCATTCGTCGATCTGTCTGCCTGTGCCATTCCACCTCATTTCCATGTGCGTGCAGCATGTATTGTACACCACGTGCGTATGCCATTGTTCTCGAGATTCGCCTCGTATCTGACTATCATCATCATGTACACAAGCTTCGGCAACCACTAAATCCAATCACTCAACAAATGCGCCAACAAGCCAGCAAGAAGAGGATGGGAGAAGGCACGTGCGCGTGTGTCTCTTCAGCACCTCCTTTGCACCACAAGCATGAAAGATCGTGGCTGTATGTGATGTGACCAGCATCACATTGTCACGTCACATGCCACTCACGTCAGGAGCACGTCATCACACGTCTCGCACTGTCAATCCCCGCTCCGCTGTCTTCCCTCTCTCCACAAATTTATGTTAATTGCCTTTGCTCCTTCTAGGCTTTTTGTTGTTTGGACACACCAGAAGCGCGCAACAAGGTCGTGATTGTGAGCAGCACACACACACAACCGAGAGAGCAGCAACCCCTCTAGGCCCTTCGATCTTGTGCGTCGCCTGCCAGCGCGTGCGATCACAAGGGGCAATGAAGTTCGGCTTGACGCTCTTCAACAACGCCGTCCCGGAATGGCGACCCGCGTACGTTGACTATGAGCGCCTGAAGAAGAAGCTGCAAGAGATAAGCAACGCGTTCCCAAGGACGGTGCGCAACCTGCATCCACGCGTCACCACGGATGTGTCGCCGGACTTCAAGACGGAGGAAGAGGTGGAGGAGGAGGAGAGGCTGGAGGCCATCAGCAACAGCAATGAGGAGAAGGCATTCATGCTGGCTGTCGACGCTGAGCTCGACAAAGTCAACAAGTTCTTCCTCGAGCAGGATGACAAGGCCCGCAAGACGTGTGACGACCTGGAGGCACAACTGGCCGCCCTGTATGTCGCACACCAGACGGGCGGCGAGCACGCAGTGGCAGCCGTTCGCAGCAAAAACGCAAGACGACGTGCCCGTGCTGTGCTACGTGAGAGGCGCGCACGATTGTCTGCCAAGCTGACATGGTGGTGTCACAAGCCATCACGCATCCTGAACAGCCAAACGAAGCAGTTGGAGAAGGCGTTCCAGGAGTACTACCGCAACCTGGACATGCTGCGTGCATACCGTAACCTCAACAACACAGCCTTTTACAAGATCATGAAGAAGCACGACAAGGTCACGGGTCTCACCATGTCGCCAACAGTGCTGGCCAAGGTGCGCGCACGTGTCTGTGTCTTTGTGTGTGTCTTTGTGTGTGTCTGTCTGTATCTGTGTGTGTGTATGTGTGTGTGTGTGTGTGTGTGTGTGTGTGTGTCTGTCTGTCTGTCTGTCTGTCTGTCTGTCTGTCTGTCTGTCTGTCTGTCTGTCTGCGTGTGTGCGTGTCTGTGTGTGTGTGTCTGCTCCGCTTGCCACCACGTTCCCCACCACGTTCCCCACCACGTTCCCCAGCACACCACCACCACCACCACTATTCTCAGCACCCCTTCCCCTGCCTTCCCCTGCCTTCCGCAAACACCACTCTTAGGTGAGCGCTGCGCCGTTCATGACATCGGACCTGGAGAAGGAGATCAGGCGCATCGAGCAGGTGTTCACGGAGCGGCTGGAGCACGGCGACCGGCGGCGTGCAATGCAGAAGCTGCGCGTGCCCGTGGACGCGTTTCAGCCCTTTGACTGGACGACGTTTGGGCTGGGGCTGTGGGCCATGTTCTTCTTCTTCTGCATGGGCATCATCCTTGTGGTTGCGCTGCGCAGCCGCGTGGCAGACTACCCGGACCACCGCGTCATGTTTGCCATGTACCGCGGCCTGCTGTACCCGTTGATCATGCTGGCCTTTGTTGCCATCAACATGTACACGTGGCGCAAGTTCCACGTGAACTACGTGCTCATCTTCGGGCTCGACCACCGGCGCCACACCAACTACATCAAGATGCTTGGCACGGCGGGCCTGCTGATGGCTGTGTGGAGCGTGAGCGTGTTCGCGTACCTGTTTCAAGACGAGCTTGGCACCACTGTTCGCCCATGGAGCGCGGTCGCTCTACTGTGCGTGCTGGTTGCGTACTGGGCGAAGCCGTGGGGCAGCATGCGACGTGCACGATATTGGCTCGCACGCGTCGTCGGGCGCATGGTGGCTGCTCCCTTCTTCGATGTGCGCTTTGAGGACTTCTGGCTGGCAGATCAGTTCAACTCACTCGTGGTCATCCTACTCGACCTCCAGTTCACCATCTGCTACGTCTCAAAGAGCCGCTTTGGCCCAATGGCTCACGATGGTCACCATTGCCGCTCGTCTGAGAATGTTCTCCGCGCTGTGATTGCCGCGCTTCCTGCGTGGTGGCGCCTGATGCAGTGCCTTCGCCGCTTCCGCGACACGCGCAAGTACCATCACATCCACAACGCTCTCAAGTATAGTTCGTCCGTTGTCGTCGTTATCTTCAGCACTCTGGCGGGCGTGGCCAAGGACAACGGGCAGCTGGTTGGAGAGTCCCCCACAGGCACAGCGCTTTTCGTCATGTGGATCCTCGCATGCCTCGTCAACACATCCTACTCTGCTTTCTGGGATTTGAAGCATGATTGGGGCTTGTTTGCGAAGAACGCCAAGCACATGTGGCTTCGCCGCGACATGCTGTACCCGGTGCCCATCTACTACCTGGCGATGGTGAACGACGTTGTGTTTCGGCTGTCGTGGACGCTGAGCATCAGCGTGGGGTACTTTGACCTGTTTTTCAGCGACGGGCTGGTGGCGCTGCTCTCGTTTTTCGAGATGTGGCGGCGGTTTGTGTGGAACTTCTTCCGCGTTGAGAACGAGCATGTGAACAACTGTGGCGAGTTCCGTGCTGTGCGCCACATTCCGCTGCCGTTCGAGTACGTGCCGGCGGAGACGGAGTGGGAGCTGTTGCGCGGGCATGACGGGTCGCAGCGGCGCCCGCCATTCGCCCACGATAGCAGCGTCAACGATGCGTTTGGCGGGGGACGGCCCATGTCCCTGAGTGTTGGCAGCGCCGCGCAACACGCCCGATCACACGCCTCGCTGTCAGGATACCTTGCATCTCCACAGCACACACGCGACGACGATGGTGATGTCATGAGGGCCTACGACACCACCGCTCGTCAGGACGTCACCGTTTATCGTTCCGACACCCCTGGCTCCTTGTATGCGCCTCCAGGCGGGCTGGATGGCGCAGCTTTCCGCTTGCGGTCCATGACCTTCTCTCACCCTCTTGATTCAACGCTGGATGGCTTGTACGCCGCTAATGATGCTGCTGGTGGTGATGTTGACGATGATGATGATGATGATGACCCGTCCCGGCCTTTGCTTGGAGCCTCATCCATCAACAGGAACGAGAGCAGCACCGTGCATGGCGATTACCGCTCCTTCTCGCCCACCTACTCCCCGCTCAGCTCGTCTGATGACTGACGACGAGCGCCAAGATGGCGCCTGTGCGCCCGTGGGCTTGGTGACTGCGGAGAGAACATCACACATGCGCCACTACGAGGAGGGAGTTGAGAGCACATGTAAGTCTGTCTGCCTGCCTGCCTGTCTGTCTGTCTGTCTGTCTGTCTGTCTGTCTGTCTGTCTGTCTGTGCCTGTGTGTGCGCGCGCGCATCTGTGTGTGTGTGTGTGTGTGTGTGTGTGTGTGTGTGTGTGTGTGTGTGTGTCTATGTGTGTGTGTGTCTGTGTGTGCGTTTGCCGTGCTCCAGCACTCGCCAACGGCGTGCTGCTGGTGCTGGCGGCTGAACCAAGTGGTCTTTGTACATGTATCTTGAATGTTGCGTTCTCTTGAACCTTTTGGTATTGCTCCCTCCCTCTCCTTGTGCGCGCATGTGTGTGTACGTGTGTATGTGTGTATGTGTGTGCGTCACCGGAAGGTATCGACGACCATCCTCTTTTGCTTGGTTGATTAGGCGTAGATGGTTTATTGAATCATGATGTGAACCAGCAACTGTGAAGTTTATGGGATAGAAGTGCTGGGCATGGAGAGAAGTGTGTCTCTGTTGTGTGTGTGTGTGTGTGTCTGTCTGTCTGTCTGTCTGTGTGCGTGTGTGTGCGTGTGTATGGCTGTGTGTCTGTGTCTGCGTCTGTGTCTGTGCGCGTGTGCTGCTTTCCTTCGCCCAAAACATGCAAAACAGTTATTTCGCTGCTCAAAGGACGAAGAAGTTTGCCTTTGTTTGTGTGCTTGCGTTCGTTGGTTGGTGAATGAGGACGACAACTGTGCAGCAAACACGCACACGCACACACACACGCACACATATCGCCACCCCCCCCCCCGCCTCCGGCCCTCGGCTTTCGAAAGCACACACGCACACGCACACACGCACACACGCACACGCACACAGGGGTGCAAGCAAGAACCACTGCAGGCTCTCTGTGTTGCAATCGCGCAACGTCTGTCTGTGAGCCCTCAGGTTCGTGGCACTGCAAACTGCCGTGTGATCAAAGTCTCGCGCGCGGGCGGTGATCACACTCAACCTCACGCCGTTGTTGCTTGGTCGACACGTGGCGTACTGACAAGTGGTGCGCTTTCACACCAGCTGACGACTTGTACGCCGCAGCGGCGCAGTCACAATGAAGTTTGGTGATGAGCTCTTCAACAACGCTATCCCGGAATGGCGACCCGCGTACGTCAACTACAAACGACTCAAGAAGCTGCTCAAGGCAATCCGCACCAAGTTCCCGCGTGTCATCCCAGACCTCCATCCCATGGTGACCACAAACGTCTCACCAGACTTCAAGACGGAGGAAGAGGTGGAGGAGGAGCGGCTGGAGGCCATCAGCAACAGCAATGAGGAGAAGGCATTCCTGCAAGCTGTCGACGCTGAGCTCGACAAAGTCAACAAGTTCTTCCTCGAGCAGGATGACAAGGCCCGCAAGACGTGTGACGACCTGGAGGCACAACTGGCCGCCCTGTATGTCGCACACCAGACGGGTGGCGAGCACGCAGTGGCAGCCATCCGCAGCAAAAACGCAAGACGACGTGCCCGTGCTGCTGTGTTACAGGAAGAGCACGGGTCCTGGCGAGAGGCACTCACGCGATGGTTTCGACACCCGTCACGCATCCTGAACAGCCAAACGAAGCAGTTGGAGAAGGCGTTCCAGGAGTACTACCGCAACCTGGACATGCTGCGTGCATACCGTAACCTCAACAACACAGCCTTTTACAAGATCATGAAGAAGCACGACAAGGTCACGGGTCTCACCATGTCGCCAACAGTGCTGGCCAAGGTGCGCGCACGTGTCTGTGTCTTTGTGTGTGTCTGTCTGTATCTGTGTGTGTGTGTGTGTCTGTTTGTCTGTCTGTCTGTCTGTCTGTCTGTCTGTCTGTCTGCGTGTGTGCGTGTCTGTGTGTGTGTGTCTGCTCCGCTTGCCACCACGTTCCCCACCACGTTCCCCACCACGTTCCCCAGCACATCACCACCACCACCACTATTCTCAGCACCCCTTCCCCTGCCTTCCCCTGCCTTCCGCAAACACCACTCTTAGGTGAGCGCTGCGCCGTTCATGACATCGGACCTGGAGAAGGAGATCAGGCGCATCGAGCAGGTGTTCACGGAGCGGCTGGAGCACGGCGACCGGCGGCGTGCAATGCAGAAGCTGCGCGTGCCCGTGGACGCGTTTCAGCCCTTTGACTGGACGACGTTTGGGCTGGGGCTGTGGGCCATGTTCTTCTTCTTCTGCATGGGCATCATCCTTGTGGTTGCGCTGCGCAGCCGCGTGGCAGACTACCCGGACCACCGCGTCATGTTTGCCATGTACCGCGGCCTGCTGTACCCGCTGATCATGCTGGCCTTTGTTGCCATCAACATGTACACGTGGCGCAAGTTCCACGTGAACTACGTGCTCATCTTCGGGCTCGACCACCGGCGCCACACCAACTACATCAAGATGCTTGGCACGGCGGGCCTGCTGATGGCTGTGTGGAGCGTGAGCGTGTTCGCGTACCTGTTTCAAGACGAGCTTGGCACTGCAGTGAGTCCGTGGAGTGCGGTCGCCCTACTGTGCGTGCTGGTTGCGTACTGGGCAAAGCCGTGGGGCAGCATGCGACGTGCACGATATTGGCTCGCACGCGTCGTCGGGCGCATGGCAATAGCACCACTGCTGGCGGTTCGCTTTGAGGACTTCTGGCTGGCAGATCAGTTCAACTCCCTCGTTGTTGTTCTGCTGGACCTGGAGTTTATCATCTGCGTTGTGACCACGGGCAACTACAACGGCTTGGGCACGCGCTGCCGCAATTCCCACCGTGCTCTCCGCGCCGTGATTGCCGCGCTTCCTGCGTGGTGGCGCCTGATGCAGTGCCTTCGCCGCTTCCGCGACACGCGCAAGTACCATCACATCCACAACGCTCTCAAGTACACCTCCTCCATCGTCGTCGTCACCTTCAGCACCCTGGCGGGTGTCGCCAAGGACAATGGGCAGCTGGTTGGCGAGTCCCCCACAGGCACAGCGCTTTTCGTCATGTGGATCCTCGCATGCCTCGTCAACACCTGCTATGCGACATTCTGGGATTTAAAACAGGACTGGGGCTTGTTTGCGAAGAACGCCAAGCACATGTGGCTTCGCCGCGACATGCTGTACCCGGTGCCCATCTACTACCTGGCGATGGTGAACGACGTTGTGTTTCGGCTGTCGTGGACGCTGAGCATCAGCGTGGGGTACTTTGACCTGTTTTTCAGCGACGGGCTGGTGGCGCTGCTCTCGTTTTTCGAGATGTGGCGGCGGTTTGTGTGGAACTTCTTCCGCGTTGAGAACGAGCACCTGAACAACTGCGGCGAGTTCCGTGCTGTGCGGCGCATCCCCATGCCCTTTGAGTACGCGCCTGCGGAGAGTGGGCAGTATCTTGTTGACGAGGAGCGTGACGAGGAGGAGGACGAGGACGAGGAAGGCGACCACAACCACGCAGCGGAAAAGCAGACGAGCGGGAACGGCAACGGTCATGTGAATGGTGCTGTAAACGGCAATGGTGGTGGTGATGGTGATGGTGATGGTGAGGACATCGACTTGCAAGCGGTGATTGATCTTGAGCGACAATCACTGCACGAGAGTGTTGAGGGCATGCAAGCTGTGGTGCCTTCGAAGTTCCGTGGTAAGCGGCCAAAGAGAAGGAAGTCTCGATGGCGGGGTGGACCCCGCGAGACGCGCGGGCGGTCGAGTGGTGCGCAAGGGGAGCACGTGAACAGCAACACCACCAGCCACGGTTACAGCGACAACGAGAGCTTCACAGAGAGTGTGTTTGCGAGTGGGACAGCGAGCAATACGGACGACTACGAGCAGCGCAGCCAGCAGCCCAGACGCAGCCTGCGAGCCTCTGTTTGCACCAACAACAAGGTGCACCCAGCCAAGCTGCACCCAAGTGTTACCACTTCGCCTAGAGACAGCCACCCACAAGACAAGCAATCGGATGTGTAGCTCGCATGTGTGTGTGGGTGTGTGTGTGTGTGTGTGTGTGTGTGCATGTGTGTGTGTGTGCATGTGTGGGTGTGTGGGTGTGTGGGTGTGTGTGTGCATGTGTGGGTGTGGGTGGATTGCATGTGCTTCGTGTTTGATGATTGATTGCTTGTTGACGCTGCTTCATGTCACCGCCAGAGTCACTGATTGATTGCAACATGAAGTAAAACACACCAAACCACTGCAAAACGCCTTCTCCTTTTGCTTTGTGTGCATTTCAACCAACCCACCATCCACAATCGCTCCTCCAACTGTACCTGCAACCACACCACACCTTACCGCACCGCACTCATGGCCGAGCTCACCAAGCCCGAGGGGTTCCGTGGGGAGTTCCTGCTCCCATCCCACCCCGACTATGACAAGTTCCGCGAGCCGTGGAATGCCGATCACGCAAACAAGAAGCCAAGGTTGGTTGTGTGTGTCCATGTGTGTGTGTCTGTGTATGTGTGTCTCTGTGTGTCTGTGTGTCTGTGTGTCTGTGTGTGTCTGTGTATGTGTGTCTGTGTGTCTGTGTGTCTGTGTGTCTGTGTGTCTGTGTGTCTGTGTGTGTGTGTGTGTGTGTGTGTGTGTTGCAAGGCGATCGGGCGATCGAGTGTTGTTCGCATACCTTGTGTCTTGTTGGTGTGATGATGGTGCTTCCAGCCTCACTGCTCTTGCTCACCGACCCTCGTCGTATCACAGCGTTGTGCTGCTGCCGCACGGCGCAAAGGATGTGCAGGTTGCCATCAAGTGGATTCACGCCAACAAGCTGGAGTTTGCTGTGATGAGCGGTGGCCATTCTCTCTCTGGGCGCTCCATCAAGGATGGCGCAGTCCTGATCCGTCTCTCCCGCATGAACTTTGTCCACGTCGATCCCGTGGAGCGCACTGCCTGGGTTGGAACTGGCGCCACCATCGCCGACATTGACGCTGAAACAAACGGTATGGATTGGATGCAACGAGTGTTGCTTGTATTGTGTGTGTTCGTGTGTCTCTGTGTGTATGCGTAAGTGTATGTGTGTACCTGTATCTGTGTATCTGTGTATATGTGTGTGTGCGAGTGTGTGTGTGTTTGTGTGTGTGTATGTGTATGCGTGTGTATGTGTGTATGTGTCTCTCTCCGTCTGTCTGTCTGTCTGTCAGGCAAGTCAGCCAACCTATGTGTCTGTTTGCCTGTCTCCCTGGAAGTGTGCACTTTCCCACTGCAAGACTTTGCTGCCCATCGTCTGACACGCCTTCACACATGGCCTGTCTCCATCCTCTCGCATGTGTATTGTTGCAGCGTACAACCTTGTTGCTGTGGGCGGCCAGGTGTCGCACACTGGCGTTGGCGGCTTTGCTCTGCACGGTGGCTTTGGCGCCATCTCCCGCCGCTACGGCCTGGCCGTCGACAACATGCTGGCGGCGCGCGTGGTGTTGGCTGACGGGTCGCTCGTCGAGGCCTCTGAGAAGGAGAACAGTGACCTCTTCTTTGCCATCCGCGGCGCGGGCAGTCTCGTTGGCGTCGTCACCTCCATCAAGTTTCGTCTCTTTCCAGTACGCAGCGATGTGTGTGTGTGTGTGTGCGTGTGTGTGTGTGTGTGCGTGCACTCCCCTTTGCATCCTTCCCCTCCCCTTTGCATCCTTCCCCTCCCCTTTGCATCCTTCCCCTGCCCTCTCTTGTCCTGCCCTCCAGTGTTTCAGTGGATGTAAAAAGAAGAGAAAAGGGATGCGTAGACAGACGCTGGCACGGCGTGCCTGCAGGCAGCACTCCTGGCTAGTTTACGTGGTGTTGCTTGTTGTTCGTTGCCTGCAGGCAACAACAACTCACTTCTCTTGCACTTCCTTACACTGCCCTTCCCCCGTCACTACCCTGCCTCGCCACTGCACCATTCTTTCAGCTGGCCGAGGGTGACCTCATGTGCTCGGGCCAGGCGTTTTGGCTCGCCGAGTCCGATGAAGACCTGCGCGAGCGCGTCGGCGCATGGTCCAAGATTGTTGACGGAAGCAGCGAGAACCTGTATTGCACGTGCATTTGGACAACACCGCCTCCGCCACCCTTCAACGGCCGGCGCACGTTTATCATTCACACGGCTTGGCTGGGCGACGAGCCCATGGACAAGGCCAAGGAGAAGCTGGACGCAGCGCTGGCCCCGCTCATGGCCAAGGAGCCCGTTGTGAACGCCATTGGGCCAAAGCCGTTCTCCGTCTTCAACTCCATGCAGGACCCCTTTGGGCCGTTTGGTCAGGCGAAGCGCGCCACAGGCGTGAGCACCAACGACTGCAACAAGCTGACAAGCGTGGTACGTGGTGCACGTGTGCTGCTGTGCTGTGTTCTGCGCTCCACCCAGCATGTGCTGTTCCTGCTCAACACCAAGCACAACCCCATGAGCAACCATGTGCTTGCATGCCTTTGGCCTGCATAGTGCTGTCAGCGTGTCGATGTGTTACAGTGGCCTGTATGCCCATGGCTCTTTCCTGTGTTGTAAATGGCCTTTGTTCCTTGCTCTCCTGGCATTGCAGCTGCTTGAAACGGAGAAGCAACGGCCCCCGCCAAGCGTGTACATCGTGGAGCACTGGGGCGGCAAGGCAAAGCGGCCTGGACGTGCACCTGCTGACGATCTTGTGCACCGCATTCGCGATACCTTCACGGTGCTTTGTCTTGGATGCACCCATGTCCCAGAGTTCAAACAGCAAGCCCTCGACTGGATTCAAGCAGTGAGTCTTTTGACTGTCTGTCTGATAACAAAGACTCGTGTCTTTCCTCGCTCACACACACACACACATACATACACCAATGGCCTGTCGCTTGGCGCATCTGCACACGCACACACACACTCACACGCGCACACGCACACACACACGCATGTTATCACCCACCAGTTCAAGGCCAAGGCCAAAGAAGCTGAGCTGGGCGTTGCCGCCTATGTGAACTACACAGAGGACAACCAGAAGCCCTATGGCGAGTGCACGGACAAGTTGGTCAAGATCAAGGCCAAGTACGACCCAGACAACTTCTTCCCACGAGTGACGGGTGCCGCTTAAGTCACGCGCGTGGCCACGACCGCTGCTCACGCCGCTGTTGCTGTCATGCAATAAAGTTACCTGGCTGTGACAGTGACGCGTGATGCGCAGTTACAACATTGCACGCATGATTCCGTGATTCCTTACCTTCCATCTCCCTTCACATCTCCTTCCACCCTTCTTTTTTTTTTTTCCCGCGCACATACCTGCTGCCCCTCCTCTTCTCAACCCGGTACACCTAACGGTTCGCCCCCCCCCCCTTCAATTCTGTTACCAGTGTGCATTGACATACAAGCAAGCCGCACTTTGCTGCTTCGCGTGTTTCTCGTTTCATTCAGTTGTGTTACTTGACTGCAAGTGCCTTTTCGGGCGTGGTGGTGAGCAGCAATGAGGTTGTTGCATCGATCCATCATGTCATGTCACTCCATAAACACGCGTACACACGCACACGTGAGACCACAAACATACATTAGGGTGTCAGGTCACACAAAACACACAGGGAGGCAAGCAGGCAAGGAAGAAGAAGACATGCCGTTTGAGAAGAGATTGCAAACCAAAGCAAGTCCATGCTATTGATCAATGAACGAAACGAGGATGTAGCGTGTGCCTGCGGTTGTCTTGAGCCCTTCGTGCAAATGGGTAAGGCGGCCGGGGCTGAGCGTGCCCCAGCCAGGCGGTGTGTTGATGAGTGTGCAGTTTTGACGAATGAAGCGCGTGCCTCCACCTGCGAAAACAAATACGAGCAAACAAATACCCAACAGGTGAAGAGATGCAAGGGGGAGAAGGGGTGGAAACAAGCAGTGCAGAGCAATCAAAAGGGAGGACAACGAGTATTGGAGTGGTGAGAGGGGCACAATCGATGCGTGTGTGTGTGTGTGTGTGTGTGTGTGGGTGTGTGTGTGTGTGTGTGTGTGTGTGTGTGTGTGTGTGTGTGTGTGTGTAAGTGTGCATGTGTGTGCACATACAGACACGCACACTCGTTTGCGGAAATCCCCATCAAGCACGCCAGGCTAAGCTCCAGCTCGAATTGTGTGAATGTGTAACAAGTGAAACCTCGCACCTTGGTAGTCGACACCACCCTGGTTGAGGGCCACGTTGAGCGTCACTGTGGATGCATCGTGGTGTGGCCGCAGGTAGTTTTGCTTGTCAGGCCGATACCGAACGACAAAGTCGAGCGTTGTGCGTCCTGTGAGTTGCACACAGTGAGTGGTGGAGGTGAGACACACGGCGGTGGGATGGACAACACAGAATACGTTCGCATGACTGCAACACGACGAGGTAGGGAGGTGGGCGGGCGAAGGGGCACAGAAGTTCAAGGGGTTCTAAGGACGCACAGGCGATCAAGGGGTTCGACGAGCGCGGTGCGCGACACCCCCCCCCCCTCCCATACACGCAGTAGAACACATATAAAAATGTCGTAACACGTGTGCGTGTGCACACATCCACATACACACATACACACATCCACACGCACGCACACACACGCGCACAAACACGTGCTTCAATCCATACAAACACACATACACACAGTCTCAGCCGACCTTCGAGGGTGTAGCCAGTGTAGTAGTGGGATGTGACGGGACGCAGGAATCGACGAAGAATGAAGCGCCACGCGTTGTTGAAGCCAATTTGGTTAAAATGGATGTCCTGGGTGGGCACGGGCTCATAGCCACCCTGAATGCGCTCATCCTTGTTGTCGCCGTTGCTCCACTGACCAAAGTGCTCGCACTCCTCAATCAGGTTGCGCGCAAAGGCCGGGCTGAACATGGGCACCTTGAACACGTCCGTGCAGTTGGGGATCAAACCGTGCTCCTCAAACGACCAGTACAGCTCGTTCAAGTACTGCATTGATGATATTGTCAGTGCGTGGGTAGGTGAGAATGTATTGAGAGAGAGAGAGAGCGGGTGGGTGCGAGCGGGTGGGTGCGAGCAGAAGGGAGAAGGGATGAGACGAGGTCTACCTGCAGGCACACAAGGCACACATTTCCAGCACATGCGCCCACACATGATGTGATACATATTTTCACTGTGCGTGTGTTTCACCTTGTCCGCCCACTCAGCAGGGTTTTCTTCCACCAAAAACAGGTCAGGGTGCGCCTGAGATTGAGAGATAAAGGGTAAGTCCCGTGAGTAGTCAGAAGCAGGAGGAGCTGTGCTTTTGACGTTTTGTAACGTGAACGGCCATGGGATCCAGAAGGAATGCAATGGCGCAGCGAACGAGCAAACTGCACACCAGCAACAAACAGCAACGCCAAGTCGCACCTTTGTGCTGTCGAAACCTGTTGGGTTGATGAGGTGACCATACTCCAGGAGGTTTGATACGGCTGCGAGAAGCGAGGCAGGTGAGCCCAAATCGATGAACTACAGCAATCACACAAACGAGTGCTTGCTTGGCTTGCGCACGATCCTGTCACCACACACACACACACACACACACACACACACACACAAACACACACACACACACAAACACACACACACACACAAACACACACACACACACAAACACACACACACACAAACACATACACACACAAACACACACACACATACACGCGCGCACGCACACACACGCACACACACACACACACAAGCGATGTGATGTACCGATTGGGACTTGCTGCTGGTGAAGGTAGTAGGCAAGCGTGAGATGAAACACCCATTCGGCGTTGGCGGTGTTTGGCATGGCAGAGAGTGCACGCTTCATCGCAGGGATCGTATCCTAGCACAGCACAGGACACAACAGCATGTTGGCGTGAGAATGGTGTAGGAGGCAAGGGCGGGGGCGAATAAGGAGCCACAACCTCACCAAAGCCCGTGGTACACACTCACATCCACACAAAAAGCACACACACTCACACACAGGTGCGTACATGCCACTGAATTCACCGGGCGAACGAGGAGGCAGCCAAACGCAAGAGGGACGATGAAGACGCCAGTTTGCTTCCGGTCAACAATGTCAAGGTACCGGTTGGAGCGAACATAGCCGACGTTTGCCGGGCTGAAGTCGGCGGGGGACACGTCGTGAAACTGACTTGCCGCGTCCCAGAAGTTGGACCACCACTAAATACGTACACACACACGCGCGCGCGCGCACGCACGTTGTCATGTGGGTGAGGCGAACGCACGCGTATTCCTGGCGAGGGGTGGCGGTTGAGTGCAAGTGTAACGAACGCGCGGCACGCTTGCACGCATGCACGCAAGAGAGCAAGCACAATGAGAAGAAGGCGAAAGGGCAATACCTTGCCCTGGCGAACAAGCATGGGCGCGACCGCCGGTTTGTCCAAGGAGATTAAGTGCTTCAGCGTATCCGGGTTGGTGAGGCGTGAACGCGAATCCATCAACAACAGATGTTGCGCGGAATCATGGCTCTCCACAAGCTCGACAACAGCATCTATCACACAGCAGTATGTGCGTTTGTGAGACTGGGAGAGACTGGGAGAGACAGGGGGAGAGAGAGAGAGAGAGAGAGAGAGAGAGAGAGAGAGAGAGAGAGAGAGAGAGAGAGAGAGAGAGAGAGAAGACAGAGACAGGGCAAAACAGACAGACAGACAGACAGACAGACAGACAGACAGACAGACACGCTGCCATGAGACAATGCGCCAGCGTGATACGATACACTAGCATGACAAGGTGTTGCATGGAGGCCACGCAAGTTCAAATGTGTGATGTGAAACATAAGGATAAGCACGCACCGTGAAGGGAGGCAGGAGAATGAACGTGGATGGCGGCATACTTGTTGCTGTGGTCGGACTGCCAGCTGGAAGCCAGTTGGTGGTTCAGGTGCCAGTCCATGCCTGCAAGCAAAAGTCCAAGGTGCAGCAAAGGTGTAGATACGCGTACGTGACTCAAGAGATCAAACGGGCTGGAGTGCAAGCGGTGAGCACGTGCACGAACAAACCTGGTGCAAGAAGGAGTGTGATGGTGAGGGCATCCTTCACGTAGTGTTGTTGCTCCAGACTCGACAGCACATACTCCAGGAATGGTGAGCCTTCATACACGAGCACCGCCATATGGACGGGCACATGGATATCCTACGTGTGTACATCATGCAATGCGTTTGTGAGAGAGGAGAGCGAGTGGGGTGTATGAGAATGAGCACGTCCGTGTATGAGAGTGAGAACGTCTGCATGAGACAAGAACAGTGAACACAGGCAATACAAGCGGAAGGGGATGCAGACACAGCAATCAAAGGAGCAAAGTAGCTTGCTTGCAGGCAACGCAGACAACAATACCTCGATGCTGTCCAGGTCGGCTGTGTAAGCGGCTGCGCCAGTCGCGTTTTGAGCTTCACAATTCACTTCGCCATGGGAGGTAGCGCACGTCGACAAGTCGGCCGAGCTGCCTGTCATGGAGACGGGCTCCACAACGCTGCTGGCAGCCAGCGCTGCGCTAGTCAACACAAGCAGCACTGCTGCTGCTGCTGCTGTTCTCGTGGAATGCATGCTCTTGGTTTGGCCGACCTTGTGCTTTGTTTTGGCTGGCCAGGTTGCTGTCTGGCTTGTTGACTGGCTATTGGTTGTGGATATGTCTATGTTCCGTCGGTGAGGAAGGGAAATGGAACCCAGAGTGGGTGAATGAATGAATGGATGAGGTGGGTGACAGATGAACAAGTGGTGCACAGAGTGCGGCCTGTGGGTGTTGGGGGGGGATGACAATGTGCCAACTTGCTGCACTCGTTGTTACAATAGGCAGCCAGTCGTTGTTTCTGTTGTTGCCTTTCGTTCCGTTGCTGTGGAATGGCGCTCTCACCTCACCCTAAGCACGGACGGTTCACCGGTTCACGAGCGGACACTGATGTCACGGAGCTGTCTGGTTTACAATGGTCTCAACAACGACGCACACGCACACCGCACAACCGTGCTGCAACCGTCGCCACATGGCACTGAGCCAAGCGCAACACCAACTTGCATCATCATCATCAACAGTGTTCAAAATGGCCGCGCCACACAAGAAGGCAAAACGAAAAACCACACGCCTCAACAGCACAAAAAAATGAGTGGGCTACAGCGCAATGGTGATGGATGATTGGGAAGGCGAGCGTGTGGTTGTTGCTCCTGGGTGAGAGGGACTGCCGCTGCTGCTGCTGCCGCTGCTGGTTGGCATGTGAGTGCTGGGGAGCAAGTTGGCGGTTGTGACGTGGGGGCTGAGAGGGCACTGCATGGCTTGGATGTAGGCCGAAGGATTGTGCTTGATCAGCTTCTCCGTGAGCCGTTCCACTTGCCCGCGCAGCGTCATGTTCTCCTCGTGCATGTCTTGCAGCCTGTCTCGGCACTCGCGCTCCCGCTGCTCCTTCGCTTCAAGCTCGCCCTCTGCTTTGACAAGGCGCCTCTTCAACTTCATCATATCGCTGCGGAGCACGCTGCACACAATCCCCAAAGCACACACATAACAACGGGTTCGGTGAGCTGATCGCCAGAGCATCACAACAGGAAAGGTTGTGTTCGTGACCTACATAAAACACACTGCAACTGACAAATAACGGGGAGGAAAGCTGGAAAGAAGTGGCACATCGTTAACAAGCTAGCTAGCCGATAAACCCCACGTGGGTCAGCGCAAAAGAAAAGAACAAACAAACAAGCAACAGTGTGCTTGCACTAGAGAGTGTGCTTGCAGGCAATGACAGAGCGTATGTACGGGTAATGTGTTTGGGCTGATATACATACCTCGTGGTCTCGGCAACCAGCAGTTGAGCTTTCACCTGAACAGCAAACGTGGACGAGTGGTGGTACACAAACGTGAAGGAAATGAATCAACACACTGCTAGCTAGCTAGTCGACGATACAAGTGCATACACAAATGTCGACGCAACAGCCACAACATCAGCCCAAGCGTACAAACAAACAAACAAGCGAGCGAGCGAGCAAGCAAGCCAAGAAAGCCAGCACAAGCACACACACACGCGCCCAAACACGTACACACGTACACACACACACCTGCTTGCGAAGGAGGTGGTTTTCCAGGTCTGTGTGGCGGAGGCGACGCTGCAAGTGCGAAATCTTGGAGCGAAGTTTCTCCTCCACGGATGTCGGGTGCATGACGTCTGCCCTCTCAAGCGCAAACGGGGACGAAGCACCATCTGCACGTACGCTTTGGCGTTGCTGCTGCGACTGTACCTGCAGGCTCGCTCTACCCCAATTGTGCCGCCGCTGCCGCTGCTGCTGCTGTCGATGATGGTCTTCATCGCAGCCGATTGTGGGCGCGCTGTAATGTCTGGCGCTCCTCGTTGCCTGGATACTGGTGTAGCTCGTCACTCCGGGTGCCATATTCTCGCTGTCAATATCGCTCTTGGAACTGCGACCGCTGGTGGTCGTGCTGTCGCCAAACACATCCACGTCTGTCTCGTCATCATCAGCGTCAAAGTTCAGAACGGGGTGCTGGCTGCGCACCAACCCGTCGTGCTGTCGCTTCTGCTGTTGCTGTTGCTCGAATAACTGACTGGGTACAGAAGCCTCTGCCTCACCCCCCTCCTCCGGCTGTCGCTGTTGCTGTCGGCGAAGTTTGCTGATGAGACGGTTGCGTCGTCGCGGGATTGGAGAGTTGACAAATCCTTTGTGTTGCGGCCGAGCACCGCGGCAAGGCGACGCGTCTACACAAACCACCACAACAGCAGATGTGCAAGTGCGTGTTGTGTTGTGTTGTGTTGTGTTGTGTTGTGTTGCGTTGTGTTGTGTTGTGTTGTGTTGTGTTGTGTTGTGTTGTGTTGTGTTGTGTTGTGTTGTGTTGTGTTGTGTTGTGTTGTGTTGTGTTGTGTTGTGTTGTGTTGTGTTGTGTTGTGTTGTGTTGTGTTGCGTTGCGTTGTGTTGTGTTGTGTTGTGTTGTGTTGCGTTGTGTCGTGTCGTGTTTTGTTGTGTTGGGAGGGCGTGTGTAAGAGAGTGCAGCAGGCGTGTGATTGCACGTTTGTTTGCGGTTTTTTGTGTTAACACAAGTCACAGGCCAAGTAGGCCGACTGAGATTGGCAAACGCGCGCAGGTTGCCATGTGGTCTGTGTGTTGAGCATACCTGCTTGTTGGATGGCCTTCAGCACCAGCTGCTCGTGGCTGAGATTGGCGGCGCGCAGCCTGCATGCCACGTCATGTTCAGCGAGAAATGGTGGCGAAATGGAGTGAATAACACAACAACCGCATGATGGTGTGCATGGCAAGAGCCCTTTAAAGCAGAGAAGTCGGCGAAAGTTTGCTGATGAGACGGTGCGTTGTTGCGGAGATTGGAGAGATGACAAATTCCTTTGTGTTTCGGCCGAGCACCGCGGCAAGGCGACGCGTCTACACACAACCACCACAACAGCAGATGTGCAAATGCGTGTTGTGTTGTGTTGTGTTGTGTTGTGTTGTGGTGCGTTGTGTTGTGTTGTGTTGTGTTGTGTTGTGGTGTGTTGTGTTGTGGTGTGTTGTGGTGTGTTGTGGTGTGGTGTGTTGTGGTGTGTTGTGGTGGTGTGTGGTCGTGTTGTGTTGTGTTGTGTTGTGTTGTCGTTGTCGTTGTGTTGTGTTGTGTTGTGTTGTGTTGCGTTGTGTCGTGTCGTGTTTTGTTGTGTTGGGAGGGCGTGTGTAAGAGAGTGCAGCAGGCGTGTGATTGCACGTTTGTTTGCGGTTTTTTGTGTTAACACAAGTCACAGGCCAAGTAGGCCGACTGAGATTGGCAAACGCGCGCAGGTTGCCATGTGGTCTGTGTGTTGAGCATACCTGCTTGTTGGATGGCCTTCAGCACCAGCTGCTCGTGGCTGAGATTGGCGGCGCGCAGCCTGCATGCCACGTCATGTTCAGCGAGAAATGGCGGCGAAATGGAGTGAATAACGCATGGTGTGTCATGTGAAGGAAACATGAGGGATGAGGATACTCTGCAAGGCGCTCATGTCCTCCACGTCCGTGCACAAGACATGTGCACTGCTGTGTTCCTCCCTTTGACACACCAGAACACACGCCACTGTACGGCTAAGCGAACAACACGAACAGCAAAGACACAAGAATAAGGAAGACAAGCGAAGCAATGCGCACGCATACATACCGCTGCATGAGCCGGCGTGGGGTTGAGATGCGCGATTTTGGGTTGTGAAGCGGTGCGGATGAGTCGCGTGTCTCCGGTCGCACACGCGTGTACGTGATGGACGCCACATGTGTGGGAAGGACGTCGTACCAAGCGCCGCCAGCACAGGCATGGACGTTCTGCATGGCCTCGCGCAAGGGAATGCTGAATCCACCAATGCATACGTCACCATCTCCGAGCGATGTTCCCTGGGCGTGCCTGCGCCTCTTTGGCGAAAACCAGCTGCCTTTCCTTGAACGGCGGCCGGGTGAGGCAGGCGCGGTGGAGGACGAAGACAGAGAGCGCTGCCGGTGGCTGTGTTGACTGTGCTGCGTGTGGCGCCGTGGCCCTTTCAGGGTGCGGCGCCGGCGCATGCCGGGAGATTTTGGAATGCTTGCAGGCAAGGTGAAGTCTCTGGCGTGCTTCTGACTTGTCACCATGACACGCACGGCGTAGTCGTGAGGGGCGATGCTGCACGGGGTGGGCAGGAACACGGCGAAATGCTCTTCAAAGCTGATGGCTGCCTTGTGATGGGGTTTGGTCACCGTGCACACGCGCGTCCCTTCCACCTCCATGTCTTGCTCCATAAGCGCGACTTGCACCGCGAGTTTGAGGCCGCGCGCAGCGCTGGAGCCAACAAGCAGGTCACGCAGCTCACGCACACATATGGCCAGCACACCAGCGCCCTCTGCCCTCTCCTTGGGCTCTTCGTACTTGATCTTCACCCTCAGCTTGCCAAAGCTTTGCCATGTGACAGCATGGTCCTCCAGTGGCTGCTCTTCCTCGTTGCAGGCCGCTGCTACCGTTGTTGCGGTGCCAGAGTTCCGTGGACCAACGGCTCGCGTACCAGTGGCCCGTGCGTCGTTGTTTCGTGTATCATCGGTCACTGAAGACGCAGCAACGCCATCGTTGTCTTGGTCGCTGCTGCGACTGCTGTCATGACTCTCGCTCGTGTTCTCGGTGTCTGTGCCACTTGTGGCCAGGTCATTGGTGCAGTGGTTCATGAGGGACGCGGACGACGATTGGTTGGATGCGACTTTGGACATGGTTGCTGATGTGGGTGCTGAGTCCCCGCTTGTGGCGGTGCTGCATGTCAGGACGGAAGTAGCGCTGTTGGGCGCGAGCTGGTTCAGTGTAAAGCCGTGCTGTTGGTGTCGTTGCTCGTCGTGATGCTGATATAGCTTGTGGTGGTGGTGGTGGTGGTGGTGGTGGTGGTGGTTGTACGTTCGTAGGCCTTCCCCTTCTTGTTGTGCCTTTGCTTCCTCTTGTGTCTGCTCCTTGTGCTGTTCTTTCGGGCTGCAGCCAGTGTGGCGAAGCTGCAACAGCAGCTCGTCCAGGTCAATGTCTTGTGCGTTGTTTGTATGGCGCACACGCTCGGGGGCGTGCAGGTTGCGCCTTTCCAGCTTGATCTGATCCATCTCGATCGACCCTTGCTTCTCGGCTGGCTTGGCTGGCTGGCTGGTCGGGGAACAGGAGCGAGGCAAGCTTTGTTGTTGTTGGATGGATGGGTGAGTGAGTGAGGACCAGCTTGCTTGCTCGCTAGCTGTGTTTGGTCGGTTGCCTTGCTTGTTGCTTGCATCTTGGTTCTTTTGTGTTGCCAGTCGAGCAAGAAGCAAGCGAAAAACCAGACGAAATCGAGTGCACTTCGCCACCACACACTGACGAAACGCTGTGTCGTGTTGTGTTTGGAGGGTTTGCAGCTCTGCGACGTGTCTGCTTGTAGTGTGGTTGTTCGCTTGCTTGTGTGGCTTTATGTTAACACGCACGCACGATCACCTCCTCCAATACGTGCTTGCTTGGCTTGCTATCCCCTCCGCTTGTGTCACGTTGTTATGTTGTGCCATGTGTTTATGCTGGTTGTTGGTTGTGTTGTGTACACGTGATGTGATGTGAGACATACATGATGTGGCTACATGGTCATGACCGGATCCGCATCTTCGCCAACAAGCCGCTCAAACTCGTCCTGCGTGATCTTGCCCTGCTTGAGCTGTTTTCGCAGCCTCACTTCCCGCGCAAGCTCATCCCACTCTGCAAGCGTGTGCGTGAGAGTGTGTGTGTGTGTGGGAGTGTGTGTGGGAGTATGCTTGAGTGGCGTGGAGCAGGCGTAGGTAGAGCATAAAACAATTTCCAGGAATGGGCTTGCCAGCGAAACGCAGCAGACGGACAGGTTCAACACGCACCTTGTTCTGTCTCCAGCAAGTTTTCAAGCATCTTCTTGCGCTTGCGGTCTTCCTGCTGCTGCTTCTTCGTTGCACGCGCCAGCTTCTTCTTCTTTCGCTCCTTCTGCTTTGACCTGTGTTGCGTGTCAATGAGACAGTGTGTGAGTGTGAGTGAGTGTGTGTGTTTGTGAGTGTGTGAGTGAGTGAGTGTGTGTGTGTGCGTGTGTGAGTGTGAGTGTGAGTGTGTGAGTGTGTGAGTGTGTGTGTGCGTGAGTGTGCGTGTGTGAGTGTGAGTGTGCGTGAGTGGGTGAGCCAAGGCTCAAGTACACATGGATGTGCATGAGCAACGGTAGCGAGATGAAACACTACACGCGATTCCACAACGGGGCATCGCAGCAGCAAATTGTCCACTCAGCAATTGAGCATACGCACCAAGCCTCGTTCTTCTGCTTCTGCCTCTCCTTGCTTCGCTTCGCCGCTGGGTCAGACGTCTGTGCCATGAAGAACATTGAATGTTTCAGTGAGAAGAAACCAAAAACACACGAGTGTCACAAACAACACGTGCCAAACGCGGCAACCAACACCAGCACCCAACCAACAAACACACACACACACCACAACACAGCCACTCTCTGACTCTCGCCCACACACACTCTCTCCCTCCCGTTTGTGCTTACGCGGTCGCCCCTGCGCTTGAGGTTTTCCTGGCGCTGTTTCTCCCGATTCTTGTCCTTGAACGTAATTGCCGATGTGTCAACATCGCTGCAAAAAAAAAAAAAAAAAAAAAGCCCCAAGGAAGAACACGTGTCAAAAAGGAAGGTGAAACCAACCGGTAAGCTTCAAACCATTCACAGACGCCAAGGATGCTATTGTCACAACACACACACACACACACACACACAGAGCAATGCCCAGCACTCCAAAGCAAAGGAAAAACAACAAAACAGAAACAACCACAACCACAACCACAGGCATGCAGGAGATACGGCTGCGTGCGATTGCATGTGTCGCCCACATGTGTTGCCCACCTCGGGACAAAGTTGGCGGCTGCTTTGCTCTTCTTCAGTTCCGGCATGACCGGCAGGTCCAGCAGCCCAAACCCGTTCGCCACCCTGTGTGTGTGTGTGTGTGTGCGTGAGTATGTGTGTGTGTGTGTGTGCGTGAGTATGTGTGCGTGTGTGTGTGTGCGTGAGTATGTGTGCGTGAGTATGTGTGCGTGTGTGCGTGTGTGTACGTGTGTGTGCGTGTGTGTGTACGTATGGGTGCGCAAGCAAACGCGTGCGTGTGTGTGTGTGTGTACGTATGGGTGCGCAAGCAAACGTGTGCGTGTGTGTTGGCTGGCGTTGTGCGTGTCTGGGCATTTGCATGTGAGTGGGCGATTGTTCACAGTAAAATGCAGTGACTCACATGCCCAGATCGAGGCGGGAGAGTTTGAGGAGGAAGTTGCACTTGTGCTCACGATAGGACCTGCGCCCGCAGACCAGACGAAGGTGAGACACATCCACAACACACATGCACCACGCACACATGCATGCGTGTGCGCGCGTGCGCACTCGACACTCGCACGCTCACGAAAGCGCGCATCCAGCCAGCCTCAACTATCACAACAACAGCAGCAGTAGGCTGACCTGATGTAAGAGACAAAGGCAAGCCTGCCCTTTTCGTAAATGTCGCGATCATTTGCTGCGTGTGTGCGAACGGCAGAAAACTGCGACGGAGCCGCCGTAATCGCATCCATCTCCTCCATCGGCACCTGACCATTGTTCGCGATGGTGGGAAGAGGAGGGGGGAGAGGAGAGGTTGAAGGCATCAGTCATGACACACCGACCAGTTCACATAAAGCGCGATCACACAAACACACTCACTCACACATACACACAAAACCACACACACACACACTCCCTCACTCACTCGCACATGCACACACATACTTTCACATACATGCACATACACGCACGCTTCCGTGCCTCGCACCTGTCTGATCTTGAGAAACTCGACGTATTCGTCCTCTGTGGGCATGAGATAGAGCAGGGCATTGCCGTCGAGACCGTTGCGCGCCGTCCGCCCACACCGGTGCACAAACATCTCCGGATCCTGATGGAGGGACAAGGGGGGGGCACCAAGTGTGAGTTTGTGTGTGTGTGTGTGTGTGTGTGTGTGTGTGTGTGTGTGTGTGTGTGTGTGTGTTTGTGCGTTTATTATTTGTGTGTGTGTGTGTGTGTGTGTGTGCATGCCATGCCCCAATCGTCCAGCAGTGTGTGTGTGTGTGTGTGTGTGTGTGTGTGTGTGTATTGCAGATAACGGTAAGCGGTACCTGCGGCACATCTGCCTGGATGACCCAGTTGAT